CCCCCCCCTCCAGGTGCGCCCCCGCCCCCACAAGAGCGGCGCGGGCTCGGGACCTTTGCCCTGACACAGAACAGGGACCCCCCCGAGGGACCCCAACACCCACCGGGGACCCTCCGCCGCTCCCCGCTCCACGGGGAACCCACCCCACGTGGGACCCTCATCCCATGGGGGGCGCTCCCCGCTCCGCCCCACCCCACGGGGGATCCGCACCCCACGGGGGACCCCCCCACTTCACGGGGACACCCCCGCTCCAGGTAAAGCGCTGTCTCACTCTCCCCCGCCTCACGGGGATCCCAACCACCGGGGACCCCCCGATCCTCCCGGGGACCCTCCGCACCCCCACGGGGGACCCCTCCCCATTCTTCCCCATCCCAACCCCCACCCACAGGTGACCCTCCCGTCGCATCGCACGGGGACCGCAGCCACGGCTCCCCCGCCGCCGCACGGGGCTCGCCCCGCGCTCCCCTCCCGCACTCACAGGCTCCGCTCCCGCCGCTCCGTCTCCCGGTGCAGCGCTACCGAGAAGCCGAACAAGGCTCGGCCGGGGCCCTCCTTGAGCACGGGGAAGGTGCGGTCCAGGTTGAAGGCGGCGGCGGCTCCGAGCAGCACCGGGCCGAGCCCCAGCAGCAGCCCCGGCAGGGGCGGCGGCAGCAGCCGGCGGCGCCGCGCCATGTCCCGCACCGGCCGCCGTACCCGCCCTGCCGCCCCACCGGGACCGGTGCGCGCGGGGGGCGGGGCCGGGCGCGGCGGGGGGCGGGACCTCGGCGCTTCCGGACACGCCCCTTAAAGGGGCCGCGCGGCTCAATGCGCGCCCCAGGTACCCGCGTGCGGATGTGTGCGGGGCGGGGGGGGGCGGGCGCACCTGGGACAGCGCGTCCGTGTCCTCCGGCAGCTCCCACGGGGGGATCCCGAGCCCTCACACCCCGCCCTCTCTGACCCCGCCCCCTCTGACCCCACCCCCTATGACCCCACCCCCTCAGACCCCGCCCTCTCTGACCCCTCCCTGTGCCCCCCACCCCACAGCCTCCCCGCGGGACAATTCCCCCTGTTCTTCCCACCCTAATCCCCCCGGGGTAGGACCCCCTACCTGGCACCTCTTTGGGATGAGACCCTCCCCATGGGATGTCCCCCGCCCCCCCAGTGACAGGAGGCCACATCGGGACCCCGAGAGCGACCCCGGGGCGGGGCCGTGCAGGGACCAGGCCGTGGGGACGCGACCGCCGCTGTCCCGCCGGGCTGTCCCCGTCCCGACCCCGGCAAATGTCACAGGGAGCCACCGCACCGCTCCCACCGTGCCAGGAAATCCGGGGCTGGGGGGCTGCAGGATGTCCGGTGTCCCCCGCCCGATGTCCCCGTGCCCCTGTGCCGTGTCACTG